GCTATAGTGAAACTACAGCAGCTTTTGAAATTACATGACCTCAATAAGACCTAGAGATTTTTATTGGCCCATAGGGCAGGGTATTGAAGAGAAAATGTTCTTTTACCTCTAAAATATGATGATGTTACTTTTCTGGATAAACAATAAAAACTTCCCACTGAACATGGTTGGAAAAGATAAGAACCCCGTGTTTTTGAAATTTGGGGATATGTGTGTGACTGTTTCATAGTCTAATCGATTCTTCCTCGTTAAATCCCCACTCTATATGGGTCAGCATTGAAGGAAATACTGTTTGTTTCTTTGGTGAGCTTATAGACTGAGTAGCATGAATGGTGGGTAAAAAGGAGAAAGGGGAATGTCATATACCTTCAGTTATTAGTCTGGAGTGGGGGGGGTTGGAGGTGAGTTAAAAGATGCAGAATTGGAATTCTAAAAATAATTAAGGAGCCATTTAGTAAATCCCCTCCCACATATGACTTGGAAAAATGATGAATGACCTGGAGCAAGAAAATTTTTTCAGGCAGATCTTGAATAGTAAATGATGCAATCACATCCGTAGAAATGATCGTGCGGGGGGGGGGGGGGGGGGGGGGGGACTACTTTCTCAGCATTGCAAAAGCTCCTCTGACTCTCTATTGTTCCTGTTTACAGATTACCTGCCTAGGCTGGTTAACTGAAACACGTAGAACAGATAAACTTGGTTAACAAACTATTTAACCACGCTAAGCCCAAAATTAGCCTGCCTGAACCTTTTATTCCTAAGTCTAAAATGGTTGAAAGTAGTAAAGTAAGAGGCAAGTTAATTGTGTGTGTAAGAGGCAAGGGAATAAGAAACATCTAAACACCATTGTTAGAAGGGAAGGTGTAGGTTAACCTGGGCTCAAATAACTTCCTTCTAACCCATTGGTAGCACATTATCTAAGATTCTAAAGTGCTAAATTGGTCAGATGAGAGACCTGCTAAGATGTAGGATCCTCTGAACAATGAGGAAAGAAAATTGAAGTGAAAATTGCAATCTCCACCCACAAGAGACTTAAGTGAGATGAAGTGCAAAGTGTTTACAATGGAAGAAAAGAGGGAAAATGTGAGGAGGCTGATATTTAATAATAAAGATAACACTGGAGACCCAGGAAGGAGGAAGATGACTGGGGAAAGGGCCAGCAAAGCCAAAGTCATAAAGCTCCACAGGGGTCTGGGCCTGGGGGCTGGGAAAGCTCAGAGGAGCTTATCACAGTCCGCCAGGACTCTGCGGAACGCCGAGTGGACAACTGGTGCCAAGGCAGAAGCAGCAGATGTTTTTCTGGAAGAAGAATGGTGGAAGGATAGTCGCGGGAAAACACTGTGCCCTGCAACGGGAGCCGCGTCTCACTGATTGCAGGACAAGAATGCACCCAGACAGACGTAGGGGCAACACAGAGGCTGCGCGCACAAGCTGGAGGTGCGGAAGACGGGAGAGAAGGGAAAGGGAAGGAAAGAGAGAAGGGAGGAAGGGAAAAGCAGAGACACAGAAAGAAGCTAAAGAACATGTCTCTTAGAGAAGCATCTATAAGGTAACCGGGACTACCAACTGGGAGAAATAAAACATAAAGAATGGGAAATCCTTCCCACCGTGCAGTGGAATAGGCGGGACCTGGAGCTAGAATGCCTGCGTTCAGACCCTCTCTGTCACCTCCTAGCTGTGTGACCCTGGATGGCTTACTTATAATCTCTTTGGCCTTTAGTTTCCTCCTCTGTAAAGTGGACTAGCAGTTCCATCTCATGGGGTTGTTGTGAAAACTGAATGAGTTCAGTGAGTGAAAGAACTTAGATTATTGGGTGCCTGGGTAGCTCAGTTGGTTGGGCGACTGACTGCCTTCGGCTCAGGTCATGATCTTGGGGTCCTGGGATGGAGCCCTGCATCCGGCTCTCTGCTCAGCGGGAAGCCTGCTTCTCCCTCTCCCTCTGCCTTTGTGCTCTCTCTCCCTCTCTTGCTCTCTCTCAAATAAATAAATAAATAAAATCTTCAAATAAAAAAAGACTAGTTTATGATGGTTGGGTAGTATATACCTTGTCACATCAAAATTACAATTGTCCTCCTTAGGGCAGTTTGCAGGGTGGCTAAATGTGGGTTAAACAAAGGATGATGATAACATTTTATGAGGTTCACAACTGCTTTCAACAAGTCACTTACTCCCACCCATTGAGCCTCAGTTTCTACCTGTAAAATGGGGGTATGATATATACAATACGCAAGCCTTCCGTGAGATGGACTGTGAAAGTGTCTAGAACAATGTCTGGAACACAGTAAGTTTCAAAACAGAGTGTGAATCCCCTTTGTGATGTTGGTCATGGGCAGCAGGTTTAAAATACTCTCATTTAGGGAGGGAGAGCCTAACTGTTCTCCCAGCTGCCTGTAGAGAGGCCTTGGGTTTAGCTTCTCTTGTCAGCGCCTAGAAGAACTGACCTTTTAGGTCACACAGAAAACCGACACTTACCTTTTGCAGCTTATCTCAGGTGTGAACAGAAGAAAAATGACAGCCTGAGTCTTTAAAATGGGTCAGTGGTGATGGGAATGTATTTTTAACTCCTCCCTGCAGTTTTTCCTCTCTAAAAGAAGGGGCTTAAAGGAAAGGACCAAGAGGAAGCAGGTAACAGTTTCTACATGATGGCTCCTGACGCTAATGTCACAGGAAATTTCTGCTCCCCTCATGCCCAGGATACCAGCTGGCTTGCTGCTGGGCATCCTGTTATGGCTTTGACCACCTCACTGGGAAGCAGCTCTTTCTTATAGGGGTTGGACCTCTGGATGAATTTGGCTGAGGACATGCTCTCCCAAAGAGCCTCCTGGGAAGAGGGGCTCCATGATTCAGACCCCTCAGTATGGACCTCATCTTCAATAGGCTTTCTCCACTTTGCACACCCCAAGACCTACTTCCTCTGTAACTCCAGGAAGAGAAAAGGCAAGAAACTGAACAGGTGATGATTTTGCACTTTCTCCTGAATATTCAGGTCTTTGCCACCACCAATAGCAGAAAACAAAGCTACAGATCTTTACCTCCATTCTTGGAGAAAACACTCCTTCTGGGGGAAGAGCATGGAAGAGCCAAGCACCCAGCCAGCTGACCACAGGGGCAAGTCCCAGCCAGGGCCTTCTTCAGAAATCCTTTCCTCCTTTTCTTTCCCATCTGTTCTGCCAGGGCTAACTGGGAAGCCCCCAGGGTGGTTTCCAATATATGTCTTACAATGTCCAGGCTCCCTCCCCAGCAATCATTTATTAGAAAGAGGTTTTATGATACAAATTTGATAATCTCCCATGCACACTGGCACTGTTCTAATTGAAGTTGTAAGCCCATAAAATTCAAGCCCTTTGTCTTCCTGAAGGCCACAAGGTTTAAAAAGGTTTAAAAAGATACTATTGTCCTCTCTAACACCCACGACATTGTCACCAGGGACTGATTAAACAGAGTCCTGAATTGAAACAGTGCGGATTTTGTCTAGGTCCTTTTCAGGCCTGACAATGCCCTTTTCAGTTCCCAAGACAAAAGGAGGTTTAAGGATCGAGATTCTTCTGAGATAACCGCATCCATATGGAAGGCAAGGTGGCCAGCAGCTGAGACCCAAACACCCCACTCCCTACCCCTCTGTCCTCTCTCTCTCCCCACCCCCCAAAATTCCAGGTGATAACACAGCCTCAGCCACCCTACCTGGGGCGGGGGGGAGATAAGGGGGGAAGAAAACTAGGGTCTCAAACTGGCCCAGTGCCTACTCCTCACAGGCCTCACTGAGCCCTTGCTCCCTTCCCTGGATCCCATGCCTGAACCTACTCTCCTCAAGCACATCTCCTTGCAGTGGGCACCAGGGAGGCTGGTCGACACTTCACCGAGAGGGGAAACACCTGCATAGGAAGCTCTGCAGCTCCGGATACCCAGGCGAAGGGCAATTACAAATTCCAAGGGTGGAACCCTGGATCTCCGAGCTTAGAGTGCATCAGGACCGCGGGAGAAATGAGACCCACCAGCAGATCCCACACCTATGTCGGCCCACCCTGGCTCTCCAAAAAGGTCTTCCCGCAGCTGGCAGCCCGGAGGAGGGTCATTTCCCCACCACCCTTTGATTTCTTCATTGCGCTACCCTCCTCCTCCCCATTCCACTTCAGCCAGGTGTAGAGCTAAGAAGAGGGAGGAAATCACAGATGTCAAGCGAGGCACTCGCAAGCTTAATTGGGATTTACAAATTCTCCGGGTGCTCGGGTGCTTCTCGGGTCCAGAAAAGGACAGCTTGCGACCAGACCTGAGCTGCTCCAACGCAGTGCGCTCTGCCCCCAGCCCAGCTGGCCTGTCTCCAGAGAGTCCTTGTGGGGAAGCTTATTATGTGTTATCCTGGCCCACTGGGTTGACTTTTGGTGTCTGAAACACCAGCAGCTTCGGGAGCCCAGAGGGGTCTCCAAGTCAGCTCCCGCCACCTCCCACAGACAGGGATCCCAGTTTCCTTGGGTTCATCCCCACACCTCCCTCCCTCCACCCCTTCCCCCAACATCTTCCTGGAGCTGCGTCGGGACTGAGACCTGCCCTTCCACCCAACCCGGGGTGGGGAGAGTGGACTGGCGCCCTGAACTCCGGTCCGGAAAGCACAGCTTCCATCTACGTTCCCGGCAGGCGCTCAGGGGACCCAACCCTACACATTTTATTCTCGCACCACAAGGAGGAAAAATATTCTATTTCTTTAAAAATAAGTTGCTTCCCATACAAATAGCTATTTAAAAATATACAAATAAGGTTTAAGCAATAAAAACCTAGCTCTGGGGCTGGCGGTCGAGGGAAGAGGAGAGGGGAAAATGGGGCTAAATTCCCTGCTCAGCGGCTGGGGAGGGCGGGGCAGGTGACCCCTGCGCCGAAGGAGATGGGGCCCGCAGAGAGGTGGGGCCGGGGGAACACTCCGGATCTCGGCTTCCAGCCCTGCTTCGGCCGCAGAGCCGCTCCAAAGTCCGGGGTAGCCCCACATGCCCGCGCCCCGCAACGGCCTCACCAGTTCCAGGAGACCAGGGCTGGGGGCGCTAAGTGCTGGTAGGCGGGGAAGAGGCCGAGAGCCGAGCAAGGCCCGAAGGCGGCATAGCCTGGCAGAGGGCAGGTGGCGGCCGGGGACGCGCCGCTCTTGTCCTGGGCGGAGGCCGTGCTTAGATCGCCGCTGCCGCAAGGCTGCCCGTCGCGCACCAGCACGGGGACCACCACGCGGCGCAGCAGGCCCGGCGCGGCACGCAACTCGGCGGCGGCTGCCAGGTCAGGCGACTCCGCCGCCCCCGGCGCGCCGGGTGCGCGCGCGCGTTTCAGCTTGTAGCGATGGTTCTGGAACCAGATTTTGACCTGTGTGGGCGTGAGGCGAAGCAGGCGCGCCAGCTGCTCGCGCTCGGGCGCGGACAGGTAGCGCTGCTGCCGAAAGCGTCGCTCCAACTCCAGCGTTTGCGCCTTGGAGAACAGCACCCGACGCTTCTTCCTCTTTTCAGCGTCTGAGCCGGGAGACACCGGCCGAGTGCACGGCCGCTGCGACGAGCCGGGAAGGCTGGTCTCCGGGCTGCTCTCGTCCGAGGCTAGGGGCGGCAAAGGAGACACGGCATGATGAGACGCCGGCTGGTTTTCTCTCTCGCGCGCGCGCGCGTGGAACCACTGGCCGGAGGGCGCCGCCACTCGCCCGCGGCTTTAGGGCTGAGACCATTACCTTCCCTGGGCCCGCATCTGGACACCCACCTCTCCAAATTCAGTGATCTAATTTATACCACAACCTGAGACCGCGCCTCCGAAGAAACTCACCAGGGCCCTCTTAAAGCAAGTCCACACTGGTCGCTGCGCTAGCAGACGAATTTACCGCAAGCTGGGACACCAACCCTGGCCACCTCCAGGTCTACTGCAATAGCTGCCGAGGTTTGCAAAGCCTTGGAGAGCTAAGATCGCCACTGCTAACCCATCTCAGACCGAGGCCTGAGAACGTAGCCGCGTTTTCAGACATTTAAGGGCCATTTCTTAAATATTTAAATATTGTAACCTCTAGAAACAGAAACCCAGATCCCGGGCGTCAGTGCCAGGCGCAAGGATCTGCTCTCAGGATGTGCTGACTAGGGCACGATTGGCATAGGGGTTTATGGAGAACAGAGCCTCTGATTCAAAGACTGGTTTTGACTTCCCAGTCCCGCATGGGTCGGGCGCGTGGTTCTGCTCCCGCCTCCCCACTGCCCCCGTGGTCCTCCGCTTACTCACAGGGGTAGTGGCTGCGCTCGGATTCCAACCAGGTGGCGCAGGGGCCGGGCCCGGGAGCGCGTACCTCCGGCTCCCGCCTCCGCAGGTGGTGTGCGTCCTGCTCGGGTAAATCCAGGAGGCTGCGCACGGTGAAGCTGAGGCGTCCAGAGGTGGCCATGGCCAAGGAGGGGAAGGAGGCGGGGGCGGGGCAGGCTGGGAACCGAGGGGCGGCCGGGGACGCCGCTGCTACGGGTGGGCGCCAGAGGCGCATGCCATGCGCTGGCTGCCGGGATATTAGCGCGCTTACAGCCGAATCTGTTTATATAAACAGCTCTTCCCACCCGGGATGCTTTGAAAGCCGAGGTCCGGGTCTCCAGGGTGTTAAGTACCTGAATGAGTGCTGGACCAAAGACCAAGCGAGCCCGGAAGGTGCCACCTCCACCCCCCCCCCGCCCCGCCCCGTCCCGTCCCCCGCCCCTCGGCGCCCCGTTACCTCCCAGAGGCGGCAGGAAGCAGCTCTACGGCATTAGTGATTCTGTCTGATTAGCCCAAAGTGGGGACAGATAATGGGGATTGTTACCAATGAATAACATCTTGGGTGGCGAGCGGTGGTCACCACCCGCCCGTCCCAGCCCCAGCTTCCTCCTCCTCCTGGGCTGACACGGGGCCTGGCCCCGCAGGAGCACCGGCTAGGGTGGGGGCGGCATGGGTGGGTTTATGAGCACCCAGGAATTTATTCCCTGTTTGCTTTATTCCTCGAGCTTGTTTGCTAGAGTGTTCGTTTCCCGCAATTATCCGGAAAGTGATTTACAAGGCGGCGTTAAACTCTGGCGCTCTCTTTCTCTTTTTGGTTTAGGCCCCTGTAAGGATTCAGAGGCGAGAAATTTCAGGCGGGCACAGAGTTGGGGCCTGGTTCCGCCGGCATCTAGGCCGAAGGTTTTGAAAGCCTCTAGGAACCACACCCCAAACGTTCCCCCCTTCAAGGTGTGCTGGGAAAGGGCTGGCAGTAGCACAGGAGCCCCGGCTCGGCGCCCGTTTCCCCAGACCGGCAAAAAGGAGGCGGAATCCGGCCGAGCTGCTCAGGTCCTTAGTGCCACCCTCGTTAGCCCAGCCCCGCCCGGCTGCTGCGGGTCGTGGGCCCAGCCCCCGTGGCCGCCCTCCTCAGAGCCCAGCCCAGGCCCGCTCTAGGACCCACCGGCGGCGGCGTTTCCCCGGGAGCCGGTGAAGGCCTTGCGGCCTCCTTGGCGTCGCCAGACCTTCTGGCGCCACTTGAGAGCTTCAGCTATGTGGCCTCAATGTCAGGCCCGGTACCGGGGGTACGGCCTCCGCCCCAGGGCAGGCCTGCAGCCTGGGCTTCCCGCTCCAGGCAGCTGCCGGGCCTAGTCCGGTACTGGACTGATTGGGAGAATTAGGACTGGGCCCGCCGGGCAGAAGAGGGCCTGCCCAGGGTTTTCTGAGATCTAGTCCCCACAGCCCCACCCGAGCGAATGATCAAGGTAGACGGCGCAGGGAGCCAGGCGCCGATACATTTTGTTGGCCCCTTGGCTCCCCCGTGGTCCCGCTTCGGTCTAGGGCTCATTGAGGGCACTTGTAGAGGCCTCTCCTCTGCAGCCGTGGTTTGGGTATTTGGTTGCTAAATTCTCGTGAGGGACGCGGCGCTTGGGTGGCCGCACCCGAAATCCTAGCTCCACCTGAGCTTAACTGGGACCTGGCTCCTGTGCAGTGGCCCGGGCTCGCTGGCCCGGTGCACCCTCCCCATCAGCCTCCCTGTCAAGCGTGCCCAAGGCGCCCCGGGCTGCGCAGCGCGCTGGGTGGTCGGGCGGAGGCAACCCCAATACAGGCCAACTGCTAGGCCGCGGACAAAGGGGAAATGGAGCTTGACGCCCCGGACCTGTTGGAAGCATTTGTTCCAGTCAAGATTTTGCATTTGTTCAGTCCGAAATAATGCGTGATTGACGCCTGCTCACAAAGCTCTTTAGCACGCCGGGATAAATCGGAGCTTGTCCCGTGTTGTCATGGTTTTCAATGGGGTTCAATGGGATTGGGAGCACGATCGACTCTGCTGGCCGTCTCTCTGCCGCCCCGGCAATAGATTTATTAGTTATGTCTTTTTAAATAAGATTAAATTGAAATGACTTGGCTGTCTTCGAGATGGGCGGCAGAGGGAGCCAGGAGTAGACAAGGGGCGGCAGAAGTCTGAAACTCAGCGCCCACTGCGCCCCAGCACCTAAGCTCCAGCGTCCCAGAGATTGGGCAGGTCACAGACTGGCCCAGGGCTTCCTGGACTTCTCTCCAGCTAGAGCCGGACGCCTGGCAACCTCTGCTAGCCCATTTCCTGGGAAGGAGGGCATAGGCAAAGACTATCCTCGGGAAGCGTTAGGATAGACTCCCGTTTGGGATCTGAACTTCTTGGCTGTGTCAGGGAGAAGGAGCTCTGGCCTAGGAGTCAGTTGGCATCCCAGCCCAGCCCCTACCTAGCTCTAATGGCCTCATCACTCTGAACCTCTCTCCCCACCCCCTTATCTGAAACAGAAGAGAACAGATAGGGTAACTTCTAAGGACCCTACCAGTTTTATGATTACATACCTCTGGAATTTTTCTAAATCTATCTTTGTTGAATTAACCAGCAACTTTGGACTCCCTACCCGCACCCCCAGCATTTCTGGTACTCATCCCCAGGACTCTGACTCTACGTTCTCCAGAATGTTCTAGGAGAGGATGTGCCATCCTCTGAGTTTCCAAAGGACACGCCATAAGGGTAGGGGTGAGGTAGATAACAGTTTTGGAAAGAGAACCAGAGAACCAAGTCAGGAGATGCAAAAGAAGAGTCTTTCCTGGAGTGACTGACCTCTCTTAGCCTTTTAATCTATTTAACATCCTAAGCCCACACTGACATGTAGAAATAAGTAAATGGCACTCTTCAATTCTTAAGAGCTCTTCAGCATCAAATATTTGCTTTTACTCTTAGTATTTGGCTCCCGAAGAAGAGCTATTCCCTCCCCCCGCCCCCCACATCTGCTCTGAGAAGGATCTAGCTCTGGGATTAGCTCCCAATATTACTTCTAGCCTTACCTTCCCTGACCTGGCAACAGTGTTCCTGGGTCCCAGTCTGTGTTCGAAATATCCCAGGAAAACTCTGTACCTCCTGGTTCTAGAAAGCATTGCAACTTCCCTGTGTCATTGTGGTTTCCTCAGTGCCTCTGCAGGCTAGTCCAATCTTCCTCTCAGCTGGGCTCTGGGACTTCATCTGAATTATCTCTAAGAGCCAGAGCCTGGGGACTCCAGGAGTTTGCTCCATGTAAACTGTGCCTTCTGAAGTAATGGAGAGAAGGAGGTAAACAGCCAGAATTATTAGTGAAAGATGCTTTCTTTATTGCCTCTTCATATCTGACAGACTCAAAGACAGGGGAGGAGAAAATTATTTTGATATGGGGTCAATTGGAAAAACTAGGCCAGATAATAAATTTTACACATATTGGAAATCTTTATATAAATTGCCTCCGATTCATAAGAGATTCTTTGTATCACAAGTAAACCATCTAACTGAATATCCTTTCTAGATTTTAAAATATTGCTTGGTGTTCTGGACATTTGAACTTATTTTGCACCTCAACATAGCTTGGGAATATTATTATTTAATTAGATAAGTATTTGTGTCCCTGTAATTGGATGTAGTGCATCTCAATCCTAATAAGAGTTTTTAATCGTTAGGCATCTGTGCTATAGTGAATATATTTAAGCAGTCTGCATTAATCGCCTTTTCAAAAGTATTATCCAAGATGATCATCACTGCTGTGTGCTTAAGAATTTAAGACTAGAAAATTCTGAAATAAAACTAAAGTATCTTGATTTTTAAAAAATGATTGCATCTATATCTTGCATTCCGTTTTTAAATCCTTCCATTTTGGTTAAGTGTTTCACAAAATCCTGCAAATCTATACAGTATTGAAGAGAGGCAACATTGCAAATTCCCCTTGATAGATGGAGGGCCCTCAACTGCCAGGACATTTTTCTTTGCCTCATAGCAACTGCTCTTCCCTTTTTATCAGTATTCTGGTTAAAATAGCAAAAGGAAAAATAAAAATGGGCTTTTGATACCTCCAAGAAGAAGTGAATGATCTTGATCAGACTTAGGACAGAAAGAAAAAGCAGCATTTAAAATCAGACTTCTTTGCCTTTCCTTCTGAGACCTAGTTGCCATGAATAAGTAAACATTTCCCTTTTAATAGCTAATAATCAATTGCTTGGCGGTGGTCCAGGCATCACTGCAATTCATTCTTAGTTGTACTGATGATATATACATACAGGACAAGGAACGACAATTACTTTCAGACTGGGGATTTAGTACATCTTTGAAATGGGCTTCAGATTTTATTGCTTAATGTCAAACAACAAGATTTGAAAGATCCCATCTTAAGTTCCTTGAAATATGGACTATCCAGGGACTTTCTGTTGTCATTGTTAATCTCTAGGAGAAAAATTTTTCTCTTCTACTATGTTTATCTAGTTGTTTAGATATATAATGAAAAAAATGTAGGGACTAATATGGTTGGGTGAATTAAAAAGTAAAGGTATTTAATGAAATATTTATAGTCTCCAGTTCCTAAAGAGCCAACAAATAACTTAAAAAAATTTTAAACTAGTTTATTAAGTTTTTCTGGTCTTTCCCATACTTTACAATGGTATAATATAATGCTAGCATGGAATGTAAGCTGTCCGAATAGAAATAATAACACACCTTGGAGAGCGTTGACAAATCTTATTTGTTCAGAGCTGAACTTCTTCATTTTTGTCTAATCCCTTTTTTCAAGATGCTACTTTATACTCCTCCTTTGCTTGACTAAAACAGATACAGTTTATATAAAACAGTATCCTAGTTGATGTTTACACAATAAAGGTCCAGGCCCTAAGTCACATTTAATGTCACATACAGACACTGACAGAGGAACATATTTTGTGAGATTTGCCCTAGCACCTCACATAGGCCTGCCTGCAGTGCATGCTTATAACCACCAGCACTTCATTTCAAATTAGGTATTTTTTCTTACCCAAGCATTATAACAAGGCCTCTTTTTTATATATATATACCTTTACTTTGAGTTAACTTTGGGATTTTAAAAGGGTTGTATTATTAAAATGTGATATTATTTCTGTCTTATTTGGCAGCAGTTTAAGCAC